ATGACACGCGAAAATGTTTTATAGGTAATGACACGTATAAATTGGTAAACATTATTATGCTCTATGTATGTAAATCATGTATATAAATAATGATAATAATTGTTGGCTTTCAACGTCGTCACTTTAATGATTTGTTGCGATACAACTGATCTCTTAAAGCTTTGAAGTTTCCACGAGTTTGCCACGTGCCGGAAAATAAATGATCACTTTGAACCTACAGAACAAGAGCGCGGTTCAATTTACGAATTATGTTTAAAATCCGTGAAGCCACGCGCTCGCGGCAAATCCGCCGTGAACTTTAAAAAAAGAAATCTAAAGGAAAACAAACAAATGAACTTCACAAGCGAGCGCATAATAATAAATCTCGAGAACGAAAAATACCATAAGGATAAGAAGCACTTTACTTTATCTTATAATGTTTTAAAACTACTTACGCATCCAACCACTCATTAGTTGCTACGTCTCGTTCTGGTCTCGCTTCGTCCTTGTCTCGCCCGCCTCCGGAGGGCCATTTATCAATTCCAAATAACGTACCGGGACCTTTTCTCTCTTGTGTTTATTTATTTTTTACTAAACCGATACTTTGGTGCACCGTCCGTGCCAGGGATTTTAACTTGAAATTGATTGTAAAGCCGGCTTAATGACTGCCATCCAATGCATTGTATGATGCTTTGATAATGCTAATTATTCGGCTAATGAGTAAACATGTGTTGGGATATTTAAGGAACAAATTAACGCGTTAACGAAAGTCATGAACGAAGGACTGATTCGAATTTTAATTGAAACAATAAAACAAACAGAGCCAAGTTGATGATCATGATCTCCGTTTCGAAGCGAACGTTTACGCACGCCGAAATTAATAAAAGCAATTTTGCACTTGAAAACCATTAAAGACGACTATTAAAATTCTGCAATTTTCTTGCGTGTTTTATCGAACATGGCGGAGCTTTTTCTCGAAGTCGCTGTTTTAATTATTTATTTAGTGCTTCTTGCGTCCCGCGATCCTCGAGAACTTCATCCCGGGATCGAAAGAATTCTTTAATGTTCGTTCTCTTTTTACATGTTATGTTTTTCGTGCGTCGTTGTTTCTCTGAAATTTGTTGCAAATTAAACTTTAAAATTAATTTGGCCATTGCAATCTCGCGGTACTAATTTTGTCCGTATCGCCAGTCGATCGACGACTCTATTGGCATTCCAAAATTGGGCATGATTGGGTTGATGCCGTAAACGAAAAAGGTATTTTAAAGATGCCGGACATCAAGGGGGGTCCGGGTCGAGCTTCCCCGTGAGCAAATAAAGCGGCGTCTATCTGAAATTAATTTTGTTTTGTTTCACCGTCTGGAGCCGAAGCATTTACATTGAATGCGGTCGGAGGCTGGTCGTTCGTTTGATATTTATGTAGGGGCCCGTAGAGTATGACGTGCGCATTATTCATAAACGATGCGCGGCTTTGACCAGCTGTATGTTATTTTTGCCGGTTCATCGGCTTCCCGATGGCCCGTCGGGAGCGCTCCACTTGCCGAAAATATTACTACAATATAACTATTATTTTCGTGGTGACTGTTCAGCTTGGTGGTCGGCGTATCTGCAAAACTGTTAGTTCTGAGTTCTTTATTCAGTTTTAGGTAACATTTGAGCAGTACCTGAGTAAATCTCAAATTGTTTCACATAGGTGATATGATGAGGTGAGAAAGTATTTTATAACAAATTCAGTCAATATTTACGGCACTATAATACTGTTGAATTCCACTCTCTCAGCCACTGTCTCTACATCTGCCCTTAAAGCTGTTGATATTGAACTTGGGCATTTGAATACTTTTATATTTTCAATTCGTGAAAGTTCACCGCTTATAATAGACCTCTTTCATGTTAAAAAGAGGTTATGCTGTTATTGTTCAACCATCATTAATTTTGGTAAAATGCAGCTCATGGGAAGGTCAAGGAAAGAGGTGGGAGATAGGGAAAAGATATATTAAAATTTCATAGAGTTCTTAAGAAGTGGTTAACAATAGTGATCCTAGTTCCCAAAGAATGGAAGGAGTCGGTGGAGTTTGGCACCTGCAGTTGTCACTTTTATGGGAATCGTGGTAGACTTCGTTTTAGCGTTTGTCCATAGATTTTGTTGTATTGTGTAAATGTACGAAAACGATTTTAAGCTTGTGTCTGTTTTATATTTTAGGTCATAAAATGTTATCATAATAAAAAACACAATGCAGTTGCAGAGTGATTGCCACCGGCAAACGCTTACCCACAGACTTACACAATAGCACTGTTGGAGTCGTAATCCCGTAATATAATCCCATGGCGTCCAACACCGAACAAATAATTGATGTAATGTTAACCTTCAACAGACTCATTCTTAGGATACGAGCATAACTATGTGTTGCTAAGAGTAGAGTGGCAAGTATCTTACACACAATTTCTGATACAGGCGTTATATCCAAAGATATCGTTGTATTTATTAGATTGTTGGTCACAGTAACCTCTTTAGCTCAGATAGTTGGCGCTCCCTGTAAATTTCACGGTACGCGAGCAACCCGGGTTCGATCCTCGCTGGCACTAACGAAATTATTAATTACAATTTTAAGCGCTGATTTACCACGTGCTCGGCGGTGAAGGAAAATGTCGTGAGGAAACCTAAATGTCTGAGAAATAAGAAAAAAAATCAAAGACATGTGAAGTTCGCCAACACGCATTGGGCCAGCGTGGCGGACACTTCCTTGCCCCAAAACCCTCTAAGTAACAAGAGGAGGCATGCGCCCAGTAGAGGGGCTTATAAGAGCTAATGTTCGTTGTTATTCATCGTCATTATAATTTAAAAAAATCAAACCTTAGTCCATAAGATGTCATATCATCGTCGCGTGATTTCAACCAGCATCGACGAAGAGAATTTTGAGCATAGAATGTTGTGCGTGCAATCGGCGAGGTTACTTCTTGTTTGCCTCACCGTGGGCGTTAACGGCTAGGTATACTTAACTTTATAAGCGTCTAGGTCTAAACACGTGCTGCATATTGAGCGCTATCAAATGTTATAGCACCGACGGGCGCCGTGGCGTCGACTTTCCTGATTGGCTCCGCTACCGACACTCTGCGTGTTTCGCTATTCCATTTTCAATGACAATTTCCTGTGAAACGTGGCTCACAATAAATTTTATACGTCTATAACTGCAGTCGTAAGTAAGGTTTGCAGTGAAGTTAAATGTACAAGTACGTAATTATAAATCGCTTTCATTTTATTTGATGCTTTTAGTTTTAGTTTAGACGCCGTAGTTTACGATTCGGTTGATTTTATTATGGATCGGCCTCGAACTGTTTGCAAACTCCAAACGGTATTATATAGTGTTTCTGCATTTTTAATTGCTAATCTGTAACCATCACACCTGTCTTTATCGTTTATAATTATTTAAACAACATCTATTGGTCGGAACTGCAAGTCACTTGGCCATGTAGTGTCCGCTGCCCTATATCATACCGTGAGTGTTATAAGAGACGTCAGAGGGATGTGAAACAGGTGATGAGCAGCAGCATCTACCTGATAACAACTCAAAATAATAAAAAATTGCGGTTGCCAACCCGCTTGCGAAGTTTGAAAACTATGGAATCTATGTTCTGCAGTGGATTGTTGATAGCCTGCAAACCCGCATTGATGAGTCGACTACGATAAATGACATTCATCTCTTCGAACAGAAAATGAAAAAATTACGTACGCGATAACGAAGGTTTGTCACCCCTAATTCCTGACTGCAGGAAACTACTCATTGCAAATTACGGCCCGCTATAATTAGCGGGCCGCAATAAAGAATTTTATGCTGATAGATAATAAAAGAGCCGGCGCGTCGCGTCGTTTCGCCCGCCCGGTAGGCTTCGGTAAAAAATATTGAAATATCGATATATTATATATCGATATTCGATATTTATTTTGGAGTATCGAATTCGTATCAATTTCGATATATTTTGTATTAATTGACAAAACATTAAGCAACAAAAGCATTCATGTGTTACTGTCATTTTTGTTTCGTTGTCCTATCGTCCATTTATAAAATGTTGTGCCTTATTCTAACTACATCATACAATACATGACGATATATCGATATTTGTCATGCGATATAAATCGATACTGTTTTAAAATATCGCTATGGATGAGCAAGTAAAAAAAAATATATCGTTTTTTTACTTGCTCATCCACACCGCCCGGCCTCGCTCTTTGCAGCAGCTGCTAGCCTCGTACCACAAAACCATAGATAAATACACTATATACCAGAGGCACAAAACTCTGTGCTTGCGGCGATAAGCGACATTTATCACAAAGATTGTGATAATTAAGCGACAGTCGCTAATACGAGACATTTATTTATATAAGAAGGGACATGCTGTTCATCTGATGGAAAGTGATTACGTCGCCCATGAACAACTACAACACCAAGGAGATAGAAAATTCTTATAACGCATACATACCACAATCTGTACATCTGTACCCCGGGTTCCGTTACCCCCTGAGAAGACTTCCGAGCAAAGAGGTTTATAACCTCTGCAGATAACCCACTGACTGCTTAAAGGAATTGCAGGTGTGCTGCCTTTTAAATGAAAGTAGACCCTTATTACAGGAAATAAGTAATTTCATCTTATTCCTCAAGGGTGACAACGCATCTGCATTTCGATTCTTAATTGTGGATAGATGAAGATGCCTATAGGCCATAGCATTCACTTAACGTCAGTTTGAGTGTGTGTTTGTCACAAAAAAACTGATTCAGACACACTCAAAGTTATTCTTTAAAAAGGAGTCCCTATTCTTGAAGGTCCCTATGATTCAGAGGGTGTGTTGGTTTGTCACCCTTATTATATAAAGTTGGCTCTATTTTGAAGGTCTGTAAGTCATATCGGTCCGGAAAAATTCGCCGGTAGGTACCTATAATTTTGCGAGGACGAAAATATCTGGAAAGAAATTTTCATCGTTTCTTAACTTGCCGATCAGACTTAATATTGTTATTTTTTCCCTTCAGATCCGAAGGCTGTGGGCGACGTGGAGGGGGTGCGATGCTACTGCAACACGGCGCAGTGCGTGGGCACCGGGTACATGTGCAGGTCGCGGCGGGGCGGCGGCTGCTACAGCGAGGTGCCGGCGCAGCGGCGGACGCACCACGCGCGGCACGGCTGCCTCCACCACTTGGCCGACACGTGAGTTGCCAGCTACCCAGCGGCCTATATATTATATCGAGAGTAACCAGGGTGAGGCAACCTCAAGTGCGAATTGGCAGACTAAACTTTTACACGAAACACTTTTTTACTGACTGTTTGTGCGAAAATAAAGAAAAACATATTAAATAAACATACATTACTTGCAATCAAACACGAAGTTAAAGCGTATTACATAAATGTTTAAGTTTAACATTTAAAAGACGAAAATATAATAAAAATATTTGTAGGTACTTTTGGCTAACGTACAAGATCAAGAGCGCTGAAAGAATTTGATCCGACAAGATACCACACAATCCTCGAATCTATAATTACCAATCCACTAATTAGAAGTGACCGTGACAAAAAGTTGTCTTTCTAGATGTACGACATTTGGGGAATTTGTAAAATACCCTCCATTTGCATTGTTTAATCTTGTCCAAATTCACGGGACACGAGTTAACATTTTTATTTTTAGGTCTCGATTTTAATTTGATAGAGATCGTTGAATTTAAAGCTGCACCTTGTATTTTTGGTTCGTGCGTGCGTGCGTGCGTGCGTGCGTGCGTGCGTGCGTGCGTGCGTGCGTGCGTGCGTGCGTGCGTGCGTGCGTGCATGCGAGCGTGCGTGCGTGGGTGTGGGTGCTGCGTCTCGTGCGTGCGTGCGTGCGTGCGTGCGTGCGTGCGTGCGTGCGTGGTGTGTGTGTGTGTGTGTGTGTGTAAAATAAATACCTATGTTTCGTATGATAAGTTTAGAGAACCAGAGACCCTTTTAACTGTAATTGAGGCATTCCATCTTAGTCCTAACGGGTAACAAAGCATCTGTATTTTGATTCTTAATTGAGGATAAATGTGGATGTCTATGGGCCACAGCATCCACATACCATCAGGGGGACTGTGTGCTCGTTTGTCACCCAATGCTATAATACAACAACCCAATGCTATAAACAAAAATAGTAAGTATATATTTATTGTAGTATTTTATCAATCAGAACTGTCGGAATTTTCCCCATACACATCTACCCAAGAGTACCGCTCTACAAGAAAGCTACTTAGGTAATACACCTTTTTATTTTAGGTTTAAGTGTACCTGTCCATTTCGCCGAACGCAAATTAATCTAATCATTGTTATAAAAGTATCCTATGACGTATTTCACGGCGTATTCGACTTCATGCCGAAATTCATAAGAATCCGTCCAACCGTCCAAGAGTTATAGAACGATAAACAAACATTTAGGAAAACACAGCTTCTATTGTCATTACTAATACATCTGTATTAGTAATGATAATAGTAAGAGTCATTAAGAGTTCACTGCTGAATATAGACCTCCCTTTTTTTTTGCGCCCGAAGCAAATATGGGCAACACTCCGGAAAGCGGGGGAAGGGAGGTGGGGAATGCTCATAGTATACCACGCAGCCGGCTGCTACTAGACTTTTACCCACTAAACTCCACCTTTTAGGGACTGGCTTAACGGTCTAACTAGAGATCTCTAAGCCGTATACGATAGCGACCCTCCTTGGCAGAAAGGAGGGCGCAAACAGGCCTCCCCCATAGATGCCTCATATGGGGACTTTTGTTATAGTGGCCACAAGCGGGGCACGGAACGATGCTGCTAGCCATCACCCGTCATAGTTCCCCTCTGTCGCCTCTTACGACACCCACGGGACGATATGGGGTCGTTGATATTCTTACACCGCCACTACATGGTATCCACAAAATAATATCATACAATGGGTGCGTTTGGCAGAAAAAAGCGCTAGCAAGCGCTTGTAAGCAAAATGGCGATCGTAAGCGGTAAGCGCTGTCAAATCATAAGTAGCTATTTTCCTCCAGGACACGATGTTAGTTTTAACGGGGGAACCTAACCTAATTTAAATATATGTTTGTAAAGTATTTATATTAAAAACTTACCAATCATGAATTTTTAATAACATGTATATGTTTATTCATGTCATTATATTACTTAAAACTAATATTGCACAAAACAACTTATAAACTCTACTTCAAAACAAACAAATTAAATAAGCAAAATGGCGGATTGCGTCAGCGCCACTGAAGTAGGAATCGTGTCCTGGCCGAAAACTATTTTAGCGCTTATAAGCGCTTGCTAGCGCTTTTTTCTGCCGAACGCACCCATTATAAAGCTGCGGTTGGCTCTACCACGCAAATCATCTACGACTCTATCTGAAATCATAAGATCTTATATTACACACGAAACGAAATATTGTATCTTTACGTCCACGCTCTCACAGAATACCAGCGTAAAATAACAGCTTAATACTGCTGTGTTTCGTATGGTTAGTGTAGAGACCCGGAGACCCTTTTTTTTACTGGAAACGAGGCATTCCATCTTAGTACTGAAGGGTGACAACGCATCTGCGTTTTGTTTCTTAATCGAGGATAAATGTAGATGTCTATAGGCCACAGCATCCACTTACCATCAGGTGGACTCTGTGCTCGTTTGTCACCCTTATTCGATTAAAAAACGTTGCCAAGACGGCACAAATAAATAAAAAAAAAAAACGTTTGCCTATAAAAAAATAAACATTATCTTCCATAACTCCTCGCGGTATAAAGCTCCCACAAAATTAATTAACCATTCCTTTGTTTGGCGGTGGGCAACACGCATTGTCATGCATCAATAGATCTTATCGCGGCTCGTAACGCTCCATCATAACATGCGCGTGCGCTGCTGAGAGTCGTCGATCAATTTATCTATGGTCGTTACGAAATTACCTCGCGTAGCACTTTCGTCGTCGACTTATTATGAATGATGAGATTGCCCGTGAAACTATTGGATATTCAATTCGGTACTCAATTGGATTTCATAGATTTGTTAGATTAAGCTAAATAGCTGACCGTGTAGTGGCCGTGACACCCATATGGGACTCACTGTCCCATATGGGTGTCGAACTGTGAGAGCCATTGTAGCTCAGGGGACAGGCATTCGCTATAAATTTTACAAGACGTGAGTAACCCGAGTTTGATCCCACTGGGATTAATAAAATTTTGCGAAACCTGCAGACAGTCTATCACGGCATTGGGACAGCGCGACGGACATTTCCTTGCCTTAAAACCCTCTCAAAAATGCTAGGCAGACCAGTGCCCAGATGTGAGGAGTAGGTGGTATATAAGCTGTAACTGTAGGTACTTCCATATGGATGTCGTAAGGAGCAACCCAGTGAAACAAACAGCAGCGTCTTCCTGATAACGAGTGAAAAAAATTGTGGTTGCTAACCTGCCAGCCGCTTGGCAGGCAACTATGGCAGAGTCGACGGAGAACTGTGCAACTGTGCCAAATGTTGCCATTCACCTGATAATAAAAACTATTTACCATCTAAGGCTTCACCACCGCTTATCACCTGGTGAAAATTGTAATCAGGCATTGACTTATAACAAATTTAAAATACACTATACTCCCGCCAAGAGTGGCAGTTTTAGCAAATACCCCTGGACTATTTCAGTGATGGCGATAACATTGAACTAAACTAGAAAAGCGTTGATAAAAATAAATAGTATTATTTAAAAGTTTTTACGGTTAAAGTTAAGTTAAAGTTTTTATTTTATCGCGTATATGAAAATTTTTAAATATCCAACGTTTCGAGCGCTTTACAGCACCCATGATCACGGGGGGAGGGGGGGGGGACTGAGATGTTCAACGTCCAGATGTCATAGTTAACGGCGGTTACCATAGATTAAAATTTAACTTTTGTTCCGATCTACACAGTATGAACTTTTTGTATGTGTATCTTGGAGTCTTGCAGTTGTATGCTTGGGTTGGGATTTAATTTTATTTATTATAGGATCTCAAGCAGATGCTAGCACCCAGCCATCTTCTCTATTGAAATTAGGATGTTTTTTGATTTCAATAGCCTCGCGAATCATCCTTGGAAGGAATCGGTGTTCTTTAGCGAGGATTTGTGGTCTATCAAATATATAAAAATCTTTACCGGGCATTCAATTCCGAAAACTTATTTTATATTAATTGTATTACTCTCTAAAAGTAGAAGCTTCATAAGTCCATATTATATATTAAATATTAGTGCGAGGTCCGTAGTTCAGGGAAAAAGCTTTAGCCGTCGTCCACAATAAAATTGTTAATTGCAAATTAGTGCTTATTTAACTAGCGTTTGAAGGTGAAAAAAAAACGCCATAAATAAAATATATGTGTGTGAAATTAAAAAAAAATGAGGAATCTGAAGTCCATAGTCTATTGCAGCAAAGCGGCGGACTCTAACTCGCTCCAAAACTCTCAAAGAAATAAGGGGAGGTTATATGTACCTATGCTACTTGACTTTTTCCCAAGCTACAAAATAAATTAATTTTAAATTAAAAATAAAGATATTAAAATATTGAATTTAATAAATAACATATTAAATTAAAAAAGAACGTAACGAACCACACGATATTCTGTAGAAACAAGGCGTATTGTTAATTACACCGTCGCAGGCGCGCCGATGTAGCTTTTTCCACATCGAAATTTCTTCGCCGCTTGATTATTATATTCAGATGGTCCCGGCGGAGGAACCGGTCGCGGTCGCAAGCCTCTATTTACTTTAAAGGACTTTTGCTCCTTTTTGGCGATCCCCGCGCCATCATTATCTCCGCTAACAATCGCCCCGTTGAGATACAGCCCATCTCACGATGCATCCAAATTGAAATTGAATATATTTATCGCTTACAATCGAGACACGCGAGCTACTTTAAATAAACAAAATAACGATGCGATATAGTAATTAAGTACGCTGAGTTACTAAGCCGTTAAAAACGTCGTCGTACAAGTAGGTTTTATGAGGTCAGTGTACAGAAAAAGAACGTAACTCGAGCAAAAAATTGTTTTGCTTAATTAGCATATATAGGTAGTTTATTACATTTTTATTGATAATAACAGAAATTACAAAACAGCAGTATCTTTATCGAAAGAGAAATAAAATTTACTTTTGCAAAAATTGCACGGTCTTCATGCAACCTTTTACTACTTGCTTGCAAAAAAATCTATATT